AATATTCTAATTTTCTGAGATACTGAATTTGGGATTTTCCTTAGTTGGCAGTTATAATCATCAAAATTAAAAGAAATAAACATTTGAAATATATCAGTCTGTGTGTAATGAATGAATGAATGAATGAATGAATATAACAGACAAGTTTCACTTTTTGAATGGAATTAGTGAAATAAATCAACTTTTTGATGATGTTCTAATTATATGACCAGCACCTGTACATGTTACTGGTCAAGTGATGAGGTGCTTTCCCCCTGCCTCCAGTCTGGATGCTACTCTAGGCTAACTCTACGTGCTGACATCAGCTCTGTATTTAACACACAGACATGATGTCTTGATGTCTCCTCATCTAACTCTTAGAAAGAAATTAATATTTTCCAAAATGTTTACCAATGTCTGTACAGTACTAATGGCAGGAGTAGTCCTGATATTAACCAATAATCTCTCCTGTCTTCACCTCAGCAAAGCTCTCAGAGCAGTCTATCCCAGCCTTCATCGTCATCGTCTTCCTCAGTTTCTTCAATAAGCCAATGGACGGCTCAGTCTGGAGCCGCGGGGACCTCTGGAAGTCCAGGTCTGACAACAGGAGCTACAGAGCAAGACAAGAAGCTGAAGCAGTACCTGGAAGACGAGCGCATCGCCCTGTTCCTGCAGAACGAGGAGTTCATGAGAGAGCTGCAGCGCAACCGCGAGTTCCTCGTCGCCTTGGAGAGAGGTATGACTGTCTGTTCGACCCATTATACACCGAGAGATTCTGCTCACAATGTCAGCAGGAAGTCAGTGTCAATAGCTGTACTGTAGGATATTTAGTCACTGGTAATGTATAGAATGTATATGGGAGGTTGTGAGATATTGAACACATATTATTGAGATATTGTCCTTTTTTTAATGGTTTCATCATCAAAGGTTCCCTGTGGAGTTTTAGACTTCTAGTGGTGCTGTGGAACTGTTTAGTTTGTCATGCATGCGCACGAGGACACTTGGGTGAAGCAGTACACACTCCTACCAGTAGTTTCACACTATTCTGCTGATCCATAGGTGTTGGTAACAGACCAAGGTATGCTGCAATGTGCCAGCAAAGGCAGGAAGAAGAAGACTGCCAGCTGTAAAACATTTAACAATGCTAGATTTCAAATATAAAACACGGCTTAGCAAGTGTTTTGTGAGGGAGGAAATACTTTCCACCCATTTGTTGGAGCTCAATGATGCACACGATGGGTTTTAGTGAGCAACACTGACTGTTACCATGTAAAACTCCACAGGGCACCTTTTTAAAAGACTTTATTTGTGCTGTTATCCCCATAATTTGCCTTGATGCTCAAGTCCTATGCCTGTCTCTTTGGAATTATTTTGTCCAAGTTTTGAAACTTGAATGTATGATTACAAACCACACCGCAATATCAGCAACCCAAAGCTGGTCCAGTGCATGCAGACGCACGCAGAATACACGTGACGTTGATTGATGCGTGGAATTCAGATTCAAAAGCGCACGTTCTGCCCGGAAACCTTTAGTCGTATGCTGTTAGAAACGTCTAAGTCAAATAATTGAGGACTGTCCGTGCACGAGGGCCAATGGGGAAACTCAAAAATTGAATTGTGTAACTCGGTCACTCACTCAGTCAGGGGCAGGCTTCCCCTCTAGCTCTGTTCAGTATCCAGCCTACTGTACAGACATGACTCTCTCATTGATTTTAGCATGTTTATTGAAAAGTCTTGTATTAGTTGAAACTGTGATTCTCCATTTAAAAAAAAAAAAAAAAAAAAAAAAAAAAAAAAAAATACAATTATCTTGCTTTTCCCACTTGTCACATTTAGTTGAATAGTTTTGGGTTTCTGGTGTTTATTTTCTCATTGCTTTTCTTTACTTGGAAAAAATTAATTCCATGTGTCTCCATTTGTCATAGTCTCACATCCCTCAGCTTATGATCAAGGCCCTCGCTTCCATTGTTTTAGTAGGTATATTAAGAGGTCCAGTTAGGCCTGAACCACTGTCGAGGTTTTTTTCTTTTTTTTTTTTTTTCTTTTCTACATTCTGAGACAAAAATAAGACTGACTTTATTCTCAGAAAGTCCACAAGAGAGAAATGTTACTACTCCCTTTTTAGCGCTTCTGAGATTCCGACTTTGCTGAGACGAGCTAGTTAAGACAAGGTTGACACTAGTCGAGATGAATTGACATGGAGGTTTAGAAGTCTGGGCATTATACCAGAACTCATCACATCTTGATTCCTCACATCAGTGGTCATAACATCTGCTCTCTGTTTTTAGATCGCTTGAAGTATGAATCAAAGAAATCAAAGTCCACTCATTCATCTAGTATGGAGAATTCCACAGGTAGATATCACTCATCAAGCTTCCTCTGCCAAGCTATTTGCAACTGTCTTTGCACACTGAATACTGGTCTGTGTGCATTCACTGTGATATTTGCTGGTTGTGTCAATGTTGTGTGCCCCAGACATCCTACTATAAATACTGTTTGTGTGCCAGTACATACAGGGCCTCCGGAAAGTATTCACTGCGCTTCACTTTTTCCACATTTTGTTATGTTGCAGCCTTATTCCAAAACGGATTCAATTCATTTTTCCTCAAAATTCTACACACAATACCCCATAATGACAAAGTGAAAAAAGTTTGTTTAAAATGTTTGCATAACTATTAAAAATAAAGAAGGAAAATATAACGCGTACATAAGTACTCTCAGCCTTTGCTCAATACTTTGTTGAAGCACCTTTGGCAGCAATTGGAGCCTCAAGTCTTTTTGAGTATGATGCTACAAGCTTGGCACAACTATTTTTGGGCAGTTCCTCCAATTCTTTGCAGGACCTCTCAAGCTCCATCGGGTTTGATGGGTAGTGTCGGTGCACAGCCATTTTCAGATCTCTCCAGAGATGTTCAAGTGTGGGCTCTGGCTGGGCCACTCAAGGACATTCACAGAGTTGTCCCGAAGCCACTCCTTTGTTATCTTGGCTGTTTGCTTCGGGTCGTTGTCCTGTTGGAAGATGAACCTTCGCCCCAGTCTGAGGTCCAGAGCGCTCTGGAGCATGTTTTCATCGAGGATGTCTCTGTACATTGCTGCATTCATCTTTCCCTCGATCCTGACTAGTCCCCCAGTTCCTGCCACTGAAGAACATCCCCACAGCATGATGCTGCCACCACCATGCTTCACTGTAGGGATGGTATTGGCCAGGTGATGAGCAGTGCCTTGTTTCCTCCAGACATGACGCTTGGCATTCAGGCCAAAGAGTTCAATCTTTGTTTCATCAGACCAGAGAATTTAGTTTCTTATGGTCTGAGTCCTTCAGGTGCTTTTTGGCAAACTCCAGGCGGGCTGTCATGTGCCTTTTACTGAGTAGTTTCCATCTGGCCACTCTACCATACAGGCCTGATTGGTGGAGTGCTGCAGAGATGGTTGTCCTTCTGGAAGGTTCTCCTCTCTTCACAGAGCAATGCTGAAGCTCTGTCAGAGTGACCATCGGTTTCTTGGTCACCTCCCGGACTAAGGCCCTTCTCCCCCGATCGCTCAGTTTGTCCGGGCGGCCACCTCTAGGAAGAGTCCTGGTGGTTCCAAACATCTTCCATTTCCGGATGATGGAGGCCACTGTGCTCATTGGGACCTTCAATGCTGCAGACATTTTTCTGTACCCTTCCCCAGATCTGTGCCTCGATACAATCCTGTCTTAGAGGTCTACAGACAGCTCCTTGGACTTCATGGCTTGGTTTGTGCTTTGACATTATATAAACGTGTGTGCCTTTCCAAATCATTTCCAATTAACTGAATGTAAATTGACTCCAATCAAGTTGTAGAAACATCTCAAGGATGATCAGTGGAAACAGGATGCACCTGAGCTCAATTTTGAGTGTCATGTGAATACTTATGTACATAAGTATTCACATGACACTCAAAATGACACTCAAAATGACACTTATGTTTGTTTGTTTTTTTTGTTTTTTATTAAATCGATTTGCAAAAATTAAAAAAAAAAAACTTTTTCACATTATCATTATGGGGTACTGTGTGTACAATTTTGAGGAAAAAACTGAATTTAATCCATCTTATTTAGAATAAGGCTGTAACATAACAAAATGTGGACAAAGTGAAGCATTGTGAATACTTTCCGGATGTACTGTAAGTGTACAGTGGGGTAGTGTTGCTGTGTCTGTGTGCAGGAGAACGGTACCCTGCAGCTTCAGTGGAGGCCGTCTCAGATGACGCCCTGTTCAGAGACAAGCTCAAACACATGGGCAAATGTAAGTCTCCTGATTTACAAGACCACTGATATTTCACAAATTGCAATTACAATGGCATTACCCTTTTTAAGGTCATTGTCCATGACCTGGAATATTTTCTCTCCTTCAGCAACAAGAAAGAAGCTGTTTGAAATTGCCAGAACATTCTCAGAAAAGACAAAGCGGAGAAAGTCGAAAAGGAAGATGCTCCTGAAGCACCATTCGTATCCTTTGCTTTACCTTGGTCACATGATCTGGCTATTTATATTTTGATCTCAGATAGTAAAGTAGCCAATGTTTATTTACCCCAAACATATGCACCATCGAAGTGGGCGTAGTTTACTTCAGCAAATAAAAGCATTTTGCTTCAATAACACCAAGTGATTCAGCAGTGACTCAACTCGACACATTCTTGTCCTCCATGAGTGCAACAAGCAGAGACATAACCTGCAGATGTCTTAGTGCTGCTGTTTCTTTAATGCTGATGGAACAAGTGAAAGCTATATGGTAGAAAGCTAAATCATTGTCATTAGCCTCTTAAAGTCTTACATCATCTACATAAAGCATTGTCATACTCTATCAACACCATAATTAAGCTTTCTGCTTCACACATACATCATCAGCCAACGATCAGCCTCCCTAACTGATTTCTGTGAATCCGTGAATTGTGTGACTCAGGGTTTTGGTGTTCTTAACTAATATCCTTTCCAGATTGGGCACAACCAACTCTACGGCCAATCTCCTCGACGATGTAGAGGGAAACCCCTGTGGTAAGAAATACATGTCGCCCACATGATGTTAAACATTTTACTGTTGTTGCAGTGCTTCCTAACTGATCTAGCTTCAGGGTGCAGATGGTCCCTCAGACGTCAGGTCACTGTCCACACAAAGAGCAACCTGAGAGCCTTTCACTACTTTTCTATCCATCCATTCTTATTGGGAGGAGACCGAGCTGACCACTGAGCTGTGGTTCAATTTGAATTCACAAGATGAAAACTATGACTTCTAGAGAAAATTTGCCATCTTTTTTTTTTTTTTTTTTATCTGGATGTCCAATCAGCTTTGAAGGTAAATGAAGTTGAATGGAGCAATACATTCCTTAGTGTGTGCTATATTGACCCAGAAAGAGGAGTTCACTGCTGCAAACTCTGTACCGTGACGCTCACAAATGCTGCACGATTTATTGTTCATCATCGAGATTACAATGTGTGTAATAGTCACATGTGATGATGGCAAATTAACTCAAACACACATCACACTACAACTTATTTTGCTGCTTGAGACAAAAGGAAAACTGGCACTGGCAGGGTTACTGTGTGTGTGTGTGTGTGTGTGTGTGTGTGTGTGTGTGTGTGTGTG